AGCAGGCCAGGCAGGAGCAGGACACAGCTCCTGCTAGTTCTGTGGTCTCTGGCATGCACTGCACAGAAAGCTTGGCTCTGTGTGACACATATGCTCCCCATGTGCAGAAATTTGCTTTTTTTTAACCTGTTTTGCATGCAAGTGAATATATCTGCAGGAAAAATTATTTTGGTCACTTAGAGGCCTCCTGTGAAGAGCAGGATGGCAGGCGGCTCACTGTGACTCCTCTCAGTCCTGTAAATCACTGCATCACTCAGCCAGATTCAAATGAACTAAAATATTGGGTGATGTCCAGCTTTTCCTGAAGCTGATGGCAGCTCTCCCACTGGCTTCGCTGGGGGCAGGCTTTTATCTACCACACTACTATGTTACCCGCTTATTTTTTTTTATCAATGAGATCTGTCTAGTCTAGGCTGAAACATGTGTTACTGGTTTTTAGAGATCACGATGGACAGTTAATTTAAAAGAAGAGAGTAACTGGGAGTATGATCAAAGACGCTGCTCTGCCTGCACCAAGTCTGTCACTGTCCCTCTGCCAGCAGAGGTGACTGCACTCTTGGGCACACCACAAAACTGTACATGCAGCATCTCTGTGCTCTATCAAAATGGTCTGATTTAGCTTAAAACCACTTTTTGGTTAATTCTTTAAAATATCAGATTGTTTCAGATGGGTGGGTTGAGAAGCAGCTTGCTCTGATTATACTCCAAGTTTGGAGGGGAGCTGTTTTCTCAGCCTGTCTCAGCTGCAGCAGAACAATGTGTCTGACTAAAGGCTGGCTATAAGCAGTAGTGTCCTTGATTAACTCTGTGTGTGGGAATATCTTAGTCCCATTTAACAGAATTGCTTGCTCAGGAAAAGCATATCTATATAGCTATCCAAGATTTGTTAGTGTGGTGCTAATATTCAAATAGCTGTTTTAATCTTTATTAATTTCCTAGTCTAGAGATTCAAGACTATGGAACCTCACTAGACCAGATAGCTTAAAGGTTAGCTAAAGAACTCCTTATAACTTGTTTAATCACATATTTATATGCTGGGATGCTGACTATGCCTGCCTATAGCCTTGAAGAGTTAGGCTCCTGGAATATGAATATAAATGTAGCAATGAGGTCCCATTTCACTTGCAAGACCTCCTGAATAAGAAAGCTCAGCATTTACATTCCACTTCACATCTTCAGAGTATTTCATAGATGCATGAGACTGAGGTAGCTTATACATTGGGTAGTAAGGATTCTGCTGAACTGCTCATTCAGCCATTCCTCTTTACCTCTCTTGTTCGAATGATGGCTTCAGTTTCCTCCAAATGATCCTTTGGATTGGTTAGGCTCTTGCTAGGCTCTGCTGTTAAGTGTCTCTATGGAATGGATTTTACTTTTAATAACATCTCATAACTGTCTTTAAAGAGGTTTATGGCTCAGCCTTATTCTCTGGGAGACTAACTGTTCTCTGCTAATCTCCTACAGAAACATTGTTATTGGTTCACACAGTATTTCAGTTAGTTCTCCTCAAACTCTAGAGTCAAGTTAATTGGACACGATTGACCTGTGTTAAAGAATTACTATTAGATGAGTAATATTGAGCAAAGGAAATAAGATCTTTCTGTACCTCTGAACATACTGGGAGTTGTGGGGAGCAGCAGGAAATGGCAGCTCGAGAAGCGTGCAGAATGGGCCCTAGGAACATGGGTGATTTAGAGAATGGGGAAGTGCTTTGTAATAACTGAAATTCGTAAAACCAGCAGTTCTTTCCAAAGGAGAGCTAGATGAGGTAGAAATGTAGTAGTGTCTTGAGTGAGGCAAAAGTACAAGAAATAAGAGAAACGGATTGTGGCAGACCTGTGAGAGTGCTAGTTTTGCTTCCTTTTTAAAAATTTTCTTCTTTTTTCCTAACAAATATTACATTGTATAGCTACTAAAACCTGATTAAAGTAGTCAAGGAATAAATAGAGTAGGATTTAATCAGAATGCATTTGTGTTTCCAAATGGAAACTGCATGCTGAAGACAGGTCCAGTACAGGGGAAAAAATGCTGAATGATTAATGGACATGACACTAGTCCACAAGACACATATAAGCCCTGTAACATTAAGCAGCTCAAGACAAAAACAAACTGGAAGTGTTTTTGCAGATGAGTTCTATGTAGAGCCGCTGAAACCTTGCTGCTAAATCCTGGAACTTTTGGGTGCTGCTTCCCAATTTACTTTTACATACAAACTCACTGGATGGGGTAAATCCTGGAAAAAATTACCTATATCATAAAACCAGCCTATAGTCCTTAGTACAAGACTTTACAGTATTGCCATATTAAAATTGCTAGTCTCAAAACTTCTTCAGCCAAAGTAAACTTTCTGAGACTATAGGAGTCAGCACTCAGTTTAAAAACGTGTAAGTATGTGCTTAACTCTACTGAGACATGAAGTTTCACTGAGATCAGCAGCACTACTTAAGTAAAGTTACATTTGGGGGAGTGTCTTGAAGGTCAAGCCTCAAGTACAAAAGTACTTCAGATTCATATTGGCAGCTGAATAATACCAGCAGCAGGCACCTGGATTGCAGTGCCAGTGACGTGATGTGATTTGCTATAGCAAATAATTACGCTTCTATCTCACGGAAGACTGCGTTCTCTCTCTCTTAAACGTGATGTATTCAGATGGAGAAAAAAGTCAGAGTTCCTAAACTTTAAGTATGCTTCTTACCAGTACAAAACTGGAGCCCAAGCTAGCATGCAGTCTGAATGTGACCCCACTTTAATGTCTGTGGACCTGATTCTGCAGTCAGTATTTCAAGGTGCACCTCTGATCCCTGCTGGTCTATGCAAGGAGTGATGCACTATTCCGCTTTTCCTGATCAGGAGTCCTGCTCAGGAACTTAGCTCAGCACCTGGTGCAGAACGAGTTCTGCAGCTGAGACTGGGATCTCCACTGTAAGATGGATTTTACAGTTTACAAGAACTACAAAATCAGGTTCCTTGGGGTAAAGGGACTTATTATGGGCAAGTGTGTATCTCTGCTCACCAGGACTCGATGAAACACTGTCCAATCTGATTCTGGAGAGTTTGCTTGATGTGGAGACCCTCTGTTTCTCTCAGCTTGTCCTTGATGCATTCCTCCTCTTGTGTTTCCTGGACCTCACCTTGCAGGGCATTTACTTGCTCTGCAGGCATCTGCAAAATACTCATTGCCCTTGCAGGTAGACTCTGGAAATGACAAGAGAAGAAAACAGGTATGAATTAAAAGAAACTTAATATAATCTGGAATGCCAGGTTGACAGTGAATTCAAGCTTAAGCCTTAATTTATTTGCAGGAAGCCAGGAAAAAGTCCTGTGTTCATAAAAAGTGCCTGGATGCAGACAATGGTCTATTGTTAGTGTTTCAGCATCAATTAACAACATTGCAATGTACAAAAACAACCCCTCCAGCGTGGGATCCTGGGATCTCAACGAGACAGGTAAGAAAGCTGCTGTTCTGCAAATGCCAACTTTATCCATATCAGAAGGGTGCCAGAGATTTTTTAATTGAATTTTCAAATGTTTGGACTTCCCATTGGTACTTTTTAATTAGCCTGTATTGTTTTTAATTCGTTCACTTAAATTTTTATATGCACCGCTTGGTCAGTGGTTTCCTGGTATTTTGTTGCAGCTGGTCATATATTCCTTTAGGAAATCAACTTCCCTTGAGGAACAACAACAACAAAAGAATAAACAAACCCCCAAACACCGTAATAAAAATCATAGCTCCCCAACTTTCCCATGATTTGATAACCTTGGCAAGAAAGATTTCTAAGCCAGTTTAAAGTCTTACAATAATTTCTACTTCATGATTGATTTTACATGTGTACTTAGAGCGAGAAAAATGAAAGACTTTCTGGTATGCAAATACAGAAGAATGAAAAATACCATCTGCGTGGGTGGTCCGAAACGTCGCATTTTTTAGTTTGTAATGGTTCATAAAGTTAAGATGTTCCCAGTGTTTTATGAGCTATCACTACCTTGTAAGTGTAGAGAAAACTATATTTTAAAAATTAACTTGCAAATTAGCTTTGGGTTCTTTTGCAATTCTAGAACAAAATATTTTCCACATACATGGAAACATACACATACTGTCTGACAGCGCATGTCAAATTTAAGACTGGCAAAGAGGGGAAAAGATGATGATCTGTTTTTCTAGTATGGTGCATTTTACTCTTCAAAGTTAGTGACTATTTGACATATAGGTGGCAGCATATGTGAACAAAAGCCTAGGACTCTTGGTTTGCATAAAAAACCCTCTATATTATCTTGTTCTGGCCTTCCACCTTCAGAAGGTATAGAAATTGTCCCTTAAATCGACACATCTCAGAGTAATCTAGTAATACATTCTCCTTTCTCTGAAGTATTTTCTAGTGTGCTCCAAGTCTTAATTCTAGAGGTTTCCCACAAAGACAAAAAAGCTTCTATCAAAGGTTTGGCCAGCTTATATTTAAGATCTATTATTCAAGTTTTTTCCCATGCTTCAACGGGGTTCCAAAAATCACTAACAAGTGCCAAGCAAATTTGGTTTCAGAAAGTACACAGTGGGACTGCACACTATCCAAAGTAAGTGCAGAGGCCCTGCTCAGGAAAGCCATTTACTGCCTTCCATGCATCTGCAATGTGTGACTTGCACCATGCAAAAGGAATTGGTCAAGGCCAACACTGAGAGAATATTCAGGAGTGAAACAAGAGCAGCATACTTTCAAAAGGCAGCTGCACATGCTCTCTTCCTCAATATATGACCCAAAATTTTGCCTTTTACCCTGAGACGTTACCTTCACTCATGTTTCAGTTTCCATAGAAGTCAAGTGTTTCCAATCTTCACCTTCAACACCACCTCTTTTTAAATGTGGCACAACTAATATTAATACTATTTATTTGTATTTCACCTTGCTTTCACCATTGTCTGCCTTATAAAATGAACCTCAGAATAGCCAGATGTGATGATGCTTTCACAGGGCTTATTTGGAAAATAGAGGAGGACCCATGAGGCTTGCTTCCCTGACTGAGACCTAGAAACAAGACCCACTTCTCTCAGGTGGTTTCCCCCTCAACTATTTGCTTCACTACAGCAATGCTCAAGGGATCATTTTTCTGAGAAGTTCCCAGCAGAGTCCTGCTGCCTAGAGGTACTGGTAGCAGGGTTGCTACTGAAGAGGTGAGCCAGCCAGAGCCAACACAACTCTTCCATGTCTTTGTATACTGCTGTAGCACAGTCTGAGCAGATACTGCATTACACAGAGGATGACCTACTAGATTTCCTAACTAGATGCTCTCTGGAGGAAGCCACAGAAGGGCTGTTTAATTTAGAAGTATCTTCTCCAGCATTTTCTGCTGAAGATATGTGAGAAAAAAAGGGATAAGGGAAAGGTATTTGGGAGCAGAAGAAAGGGACTGAACAGGTATTGCCATAAGCAAAGGTAGCTGTGGTGAATGCTGAAGATGTGCTGCTTGTGTGGGCAGAAGGCTTCCCCTCCTGTCTCCTTTGGGAAGCGACAGAATCTGTATTCAAGCCTAGGCAACTCGGTGTGAGTGGCACAAGGGTATCTCCAGCTTTACTGAGGCTGATCTGCAGCCAATGCAGAAAAATGGGCTCCTCTACACGACACAGCTGAATGTTTAAGGGTGAAATGTTGTGAGATGGCTCACCAGATGAACAGCTTATTGTTGTTGGGAAGAGGCAGTTCCACCTCCACCCTAACTGCTGGATGTGTAGTCCCTCGCTTCTCCTGCACAGACTCTGGCACCCACATGACCCTGCAGTGAACCAGTTCAGCTGTAAGAAGTGAGTTGTCTTTTCCACCTGACTCTCACATCCTCAGGTTAATTGTCTCCTGGTACAACGAGGTGTGAATCATCCAGCCAAGGAGGCAGCTGAGGGCCAAAGCCATACCAAGAGAAGTGGTGGGTGAGTATGGGACCAAACCAATGTGGAGAGCTGGATGGCCCATGCAGCATAGACAGGAGAGCTCCTTTTCTCCACCCCTGAACCTTTCCTCCTCTGAACTGCTCTCTACTGAGTCCTGAGGGAGCCTTTGATGACCAGCTACTTGTCATGGTGAATTTACTATCAGCATATCTTTCATCAGTACCAAAGCCAGGCAAGTTAAGAAGTGTTTGAACTGGCAAGAACGTACTCATGTGAACAAGACCAGAAGCAGGAGATTCTTATCTTTAAGTGAATTAATATAGACTATATCTACACTCGAGTCCAGAGTCATGAAGCTGATGTGGACGCAGTCCAGGTAGCTCCAAACCAGCAGGCATAATTGCTGATAGCAGCAAGGCTACAGAATGTGCTCTGGTAAGAAAAATTCAGCCAAGCCCTGAGTAAATATTTGTGCAGCTACCTGTCTGAGCACCATACAGTTATTAATATATCTGCTGATACTGGTTTGAGCTGCACTCAAAACTCTAAGGCTGAAGTACAGACATAATCTTCTAGAACAGCTTATGAAAAGAAGCTCTCTTGTATTTGTCTTTTTTTTTTAATTTTCTTTCCCTAAGACTGTTTTATTACAAGAAAACAAAAGAAACAGGAATCACTTTTACCAACAAGAGCCTAGCTACCCACCTTTGATAACCCACTGAAGAAAGGAATGGAAGAGAACTGGGATAGCTGATAAGGCTGTATTCTCATTTGATCATCTTTGCTTCCAATTCTATTGATATCTTGTTCGTAATATTTCCTAAATGAAGGTACATGGAAAAGTGTGTATTTACATGGAGGAAAAGACTGTTGCTGATGTGAAATGTGCTGTTGCTTGATTGTTCCTATCACTGGGAAAGCGGAGTTGGCTCAGACCTACACGGCCAGATAAGCTGGGGAGGAGGGATAGGTGTTGGAGAGCAGCCAACAAGATAGGATGACATGGTAGGTATGAAAAGGCACTCGATTTGAGCAGGAGCTGGCACTGCCAGGCAAGCTGTTGTGATGAGCAGCAGGGAGGTACGTTAATAACAAATGACATCCTTTGAACTTGGCATAGTGGTGGACAGACAGTTGCCAAACCAGAGACTCCTCCTGTAGTGCAAAGCTTTGGCAATAATGTGCTCCAGCTCAGGTGGGTGAGGGAGAACATGTAATGAAGAGCAGAGCTGGCTGTGATAAATGAGTCCTGAAGGATTCATGGCTGTCTAATGTGGAACATACGCAGCGCACCCTGTTTATGACTGAAGATCAAGAGGCTGACACATGTCAGGAACTGAAGGCTGGCTTCTGTACTGCGGAAGGAGGAGACGACAAGAGTTGAACAGCAGTGAGGAAATTGTGCCACAGTTACTTGGTTTTAAGTAAAACAGTTCAGGCAAATGTACAGCTGGCCTGAATTTCCATTCTGTTACTTTGAAATCAATGCAGTTATGCAAAAAAAAATAAAAGAACTTGAGGAAAACAAGGATGAGGGACTATCAGAACAACTTATGTGTATATGGGCTAACATTAAGATGGAGACTATCTTAAAAACCGCTTCCCTGGCCTATAAGAACTGGTCCAAGTGTACTTGAGGGTGTGAGTGATCAAGGAAAGGAATCAGTTGGTAAAGTATAGGTAGTGAAAAGAAGAAGATTAATTAGATAAAAGTTGAGAGTGGAAGTAACTTTAGCAACTTACCCTAAAAAAAGACACTTCAGCAGCAGGAGGTGCTGAAGAGATATAACAAGATGTCCAGAAGATGCAATTGTACCATTGTTTTAGCTGTCAGTTCCCTACCATTTGTTGTGCATTTATGATGCATTTTCACAGGAAATGCTTTGCTTTTCTTAAGTAAAAGACAAACTGAGGAAAGAAAACTGAGTCCTCAGGAACCTAATGGATGGTATGAAATGTTTTAGACTATTACAACTTAAAAGGCTATGAATAGTGGGATATGAATTAGAGACCACTGCTTACACATTCTTGCTTTACAACTGAAGAAAGCCACTATGTTAAGCTTGCTTGCTTTTGCCCACAGCGTTCTTGTCCTTATCACAAAAGTATGTGTCATCCTAAACCTCACCAGCTTCAGAGTTCAAGCCATTCCTAACCCTGCCTTAACAGTAAGGAGGTAACTGCAAAACCTGGGACCTTAAATTCATCTTCAAGCACTTTTGGGTCTTCAAATAGACACAGAGTCTATATGACAGAGCTGGTGGAGTTTTTATTCTCTTGTCGAGGGGTAGACTTCAGACAAAAGTATGTCTGGAAA